TAATCTATCATTTAGAAATGATTAAATATACAAATAGAAACAATTCAATTTAGTTGATTTTATTCATTTTGCTATTATTAGTTAAAAATATTGCATTTATAATTTAGTGAATATTTGAAATCATCGTTATATAAATTCCTTTAATTAAAAATCCATTAATGTCTTTACTTCCATACTAATTCGAAAATTTATTTGTTTTGAAAGCCATTAACAATTAAAATCAATTATAAAATCAAATTTAATCAAAAGAATTTCTCTACAAAATTGTGGTTTATTACGCCTCACCGAGTATCTATTTCGATTCGATTCGATTTCATTTCATTAATATGTCAACGTCCTTGCGTAAAATAAATATTGAATGCTATTAACCTTGAACTAGAACCAACGCAGTGCTTTATTTCAACTTTAATGGCGGCGGCTTGTTTCATTTTTGTTTGGTAGATAATTGCATAGAACTTTTCGACTTTTGAAGTAGTACGAGTTTGTTGCGTTTATACAAGAGATATGGTTACGACGAAGTTTACCGTTATTGAATGCATCTAAATGCTAAGCACAAAACTCGTTTTTATATATGTAAATCATCAGATATTTTATTAAGACAACATTTTTGCATTGTTGATTTCGCGGTTACAGTTTTAACAGATATAAATATTTAGATAAATATTTAATTTTATTGAAAAATATTTTTCTGTAAAAAGAAAAAACAAAAAACAAAACAAAACAAAACAAATGAATATTTATTTTATTTATATTTTTTCTTATATTATTTTTTTATTCCATTGAATTTTTTTAATTTAAATAATTTGTGCATATAATACAGTTGTAGATAATTAAAACTGAAATTATAACAAAAAAAAAAATTTAGATACAAAAACCATCTAAAAATTAAGTGTCAACGTCTAAAGCGAATGAATTTATTACTAAGTAATTTTTATGTCAAATTATACAAAATATTTTGTTCACATTTGCAATCAGTGCACCACAAATTTTGTGTTTTGGTTTCCACCATAAATATGTCAAACTCAAGGCAAGTATTTCGATTGCTAATTGTAGGAATCAGTACATTATGTTAATTATATCTAGCATTGTTGCAGTTAGTAACGTTTAAGTATACAGATAAATTAAACAATCTTTGTTTGAGTACGTCTTTAAACTGAACTTTATTATTCTTTAAATTCTTAAATTAAGTCAACAAAATTGTCAAAAATGGTGATAAGAATATCTTTCTTCAGCAGAACTCAGTGAACAAAGAATTCCCACGAAAACTGCCAACTTACAGTTTATTCCATCTGAATACATTGCACTTGAGTTGCACTTATCAGGTAATCATATAATATTTGTTGCACTGAGGTGCTACATATGACTATATATACCTTCAATACTTATAATACTATGATACTTATGATTATACTAACATTTTTAAATAAGTTAGCAAACGAATATTGCAAAAAAATTAAAAATCAAAAAAAAACTTTGAACACTTGAAACGTGTTGAAAAAAAAAGGAATTAGAAAAAAAAAATGTTTTCAAAACAAAATGCAACAATAAGATCTTTTTCCTAACATATCTATATGACATATCTATGTATCTATAGACCTAAATGTTGGGGCCAAATAAGTATTGAACATTTTATAACACTTGCATAAGAAACTGTGAAACTGTTTAAGATTTTTTGTGATCATAAATAATACAAAACTTTAGTTCGATTATACATAATTCTCTGGGTACAGTATAAGTGCAGCCACTAGTAAAGTAAACATTAAAAAAAAAAACTACTGATAATCATGTTGTGAGGTAAGATCAATTTTTTACATAACTCTAAAGTGTCATATGAATGACACAATAGTTCGTCATATGAATGAATGACGAACTATTGATGTACAGTAAAACCCCGATTTGCGTCGTTATTTGGGACCGACAAAATGCAACGCAAATCGAATCACATTTCGCCATATATTCAATTTCCAAAAAGATTTTAGTTTTAACTACTTCATTGTTGATGAAAAATCACCTTTTAACTTTTAACCTTTTAACAGTAGTTGGAGCTAAATCCAGAATTCTCCCAATGTCAGCAGGTTTTTCCCCAAGTTTAAAACGTTTTAAAATGTCTAGCTTTTTTTTCAAAGAAATTTGTTTTCGCTTTTGACTTATTTTTATACTTTACAAAGCAGAAATTTACCTATCCACTTAACCAAACAAATGTAAACTAACACATTTTAACTAAAAACCTAATACATGTAAATTCCCTTTTAAAAAATGTAACTTACAACAAATAAAATGGTAAACCTCTAAAATAGTAATCCTCTATGTACGCATGTATTAAAATCGATGCAAATCGGGGGATTAGTATATTTCTCTTAATATATTCCAACAACTAAAGATTTACCTATTTCGTGGTTATGAAAGGTAATACTGTTTCAGTGACGCATGTTAAACAGAACTCTCATTTAAAGCATCATATGTTTACTTTGAGGTTTGCAGTTTTACAATATGTATCGTTTAACAACTGGTGAACGTGCTAAAATTGTAAAAACTTACTACAAAAAATTATGATAATTTTTCGCATATATTCAGTATATATATTTTCGAACTATATTCAGTAATGATGCCTACTTTTCACTTAATGAAGATATTGAGAAGTAAAATTTTCACATCTATGACAGCAAAAATACACATGTAATTATAGAAAACTATTTTTTCCAAAAAAATCTAATGTATAGAGTGGATTTTGAGCTAGGAGTGTAATAGGCTCTTATATATGTTGTTGAAATTAACGAAAGCGTGGCACAATAAAACATTTAATCTTGTGACTATAGCTACACGATCACCTTTTTTTTTGCGTTAAATTAAAGATATTGATGTAAAAGATATTTGGTTTTAACAGAACGGTGCCATACAACATATCCTATTTTCCTTTTGTTGCATGAGAAATATTTCGTACGTGTTATTTCATAGGGGTTTGTTACGATAAGATATCAAAAATTATCGCAAAAGTATTCAGAACTGTAAGTTATTTCGTGAAAAATATTGAAAACACAATCTGTTTGAAGTTAAAATTCTACTTTTTTCAATTATATCTAAAAAATTACTAAATTTTGTTAAATTTAATTAAAAATAAGTTATGTTTTGACGTTATTCTGTTATATATTGCATAAAATTTTAAATTCAATTAGTCACATCTGACTTAACATTTAAATGTCATTCAGTAATAAAATATATAACCACTTCAATTTCGAAACCAATTGATTGATTTAAAAAATTTTAAGAGCTATAAATTTAAATAGGAAACAGCATGATATTTTAGTAAAACGAGATAATCTAGTTATAAAAAAAGACGTCATACAATTAAATTACTTAAAAAGCAAAAGAAAATATTTATTTGGTCATATAGAATCGAATTTGGCTTAACAAAACTTTTAACACAAAAGTTTATATGTTAATATATTGATTTTTAACCGCAATCTTAATTTGAGAAAAAAACCTGAACATTACTAACTTTTAAAATTAATTACTAAACTAAAGATCAAAAAAGAGAAATTGAATCAATGTTAGTTAATATAAAATAGTTATGCATAATTGTAAACATATATGAATTTAGGACAATTTTCGATGAAAGAGGTTCAATTTTTTTTTAACAATATTTTTAATTAATACTTTAAGCAATTTAAAGAAATTTTTGTAAGGGAAGCAACATTTATTTCCCAACGAAAGTGTATGGTGCAAAATTATAATTTTTTTCGAATAACGAATGCTACTTGACCGACCACTTTTCATTTCATCTGAGATGACGTTATTTTAGCATTTGCAATAAAAGTTGTTCAAAAAAAGTGTAGAATTAAAAAAAAAAAATAGTAACCATCAAAAGCAAAACTAGTCTTCATTTAACTGTGATTTTAATTAAACTTCATAAATTATTTTTTTTATTATTTAAATAATTAACACAAACTAACAAGTTTTTAAGAGTCAAAAATTTTAAATTAACACAACATTAAATTTATATTTAATACTAATATGATTAAATTTAATTTTTATCATTTGTCTATGCGTTAGAGTATATATTAAATAATTTATTTAAGAAATTCTTTATACATTTATTTAATAATGATTTTTATATATTTTTTATCAGGCTATAGGTCACTTTTTGTTAAATAATTTAACGTTAGTTTAATATTTTTTAATATATTCTATATTTCGACTGTTCTTGAGAGTCATCATCAGGATCACAATCTAACATAAATTATTATTAAAAAATTTTTGGTCATTAAAACAATAAATTAATATTAATAAAACTATATCTGCGTCATCCTCTTTATTCTATTATCTATATTGCACGTCATCCTCTTTATACTACTGTCTATATTGCACTGTAGAATAAAGAGGATGATGTAGATATAGTTTTATTAATATTAATTTATGTTAGAACGTGATCCTGATAATGACTCTCACAGAGTGTCGATATATAGAATATATTAAAAATTATTAAACAAACGAATTTTTTAACAAAAAGTGACCTATAGTCGGATAAAAAAATATATAAAAACCATTATAAAAAAAAACAGGTCGATAAATAAATTCAAAATTTTATCTTTTTTATATATTTTTCCGAGTTTGTTAAAACTAATGATAATTAATCTCAAAATTAAACATTAATATTTAAACAGAAATATCAATACAAGTTATATAATGATAGGATATCATTTACCGGTTACTTTCAAATACAATATTTCATTACTCATCAAAAGTTTTATCTCTAAATTGGGATTCATTTGTGCCAATTAAAATATTCATGGAAGCAATATTAACATACATTTCTCGTAGCAACTTTCATCACTTTCTGTACGTTTTAAATTCATATACTTTTTAATAAAATTAAGGGAAGTGCAAATTATTTAATATAT